GTAGGAATAAACATCTATATTTCGTGGATAGACCTTATTAATTGATTGTTATTTATAAATATTTTGTATTGATATTAATATCAAATGTGAAATTATACCAAAATATTAAATGCATATTTGAATTAATTAATTTTTGTTATTAATATTATTAATTAATATTTTAAAAATCAAAACTTATTATAACTTCATTATAATCACAAATACTTTTAGGATAACTAATGGTAAACTAATATATCATTATTTCATACTTTCTTAAAATTTTTAAAATGTACTCCAAAAGTCTCAAAAATCAATTAGTACTCATATATATGTGTATATATACTACATCACAACAATTATAGCAATTTAGTGCAAGTTCTCGGTTCACTGAAGTATAAGAATCAACATTAACAAAATATTTAACAGCCATTAGCTGTCAAAAACACTGCAAAACACTCAGAGGCACTTTTAGGGAAAGAAAGACTGAAAGCTGAAGACGGCATTGACACAGCAAACAAATGGTTGGTTGGCAATGCACTCCAAATCAAATATGGATACAATGCATTGTCGCATTTCTTTAGAATTGCAATGAAAAATATTGAAAATACACCAAAGCGCCCCACGTATCGTTTTTCTTTGGCTGCCATTGCTGGATCTAAAAAGAAAATAAAAAATAATTCCACTTGTTAACATGTATCGGTGGTACGAGTGTATAGCTAGATATATAGAAATGTGGCATTCGTATATAGGTAAACCACCCTCAATAAATAGTCTTAGACATTTCTAAAAAATGAAACCAACCGTTAGTCTGAGTAAAGAGTTTTTGAGGTATGTTTGTCCTTAACTGTTGTATTTTCCATTAAAAAAGTGTCAATAACTTTCTGAAAATATGAAAACATATTGACATTTTGTTCACGATTTGACAGAAAATGTCTGTTTCCCGTTCAAAGCACTAGTACACTGTAAAAAAAAGCGGAGCTTATAATTTCACGAAAAGGTAGTGTTTAATTTTTGCATGTAATTTTGCTTACTTGTCTTCAATGCGAGTCTTTAATTTACCTTTAATATTTTTATTTTGCTAATAGCAAATAAAACTCTCTTCCTGCTTTACTTGGGGAAACTGAAAATTCTGCAATTAATTCCACCATATCATAAAAGTGGCTCTTAATGACAGTTGCCGTCCTCATATAAATGAAACATGCCCGCTCGCTCGTCTGGTTGTCTTGACTTTAGAGTTGACATGTGTCATTTGGAAGATGCTTATCCTACCATTCGTCGTCGTTGTTGTTGCAGTTGTTGATATTGTTATGTATGTTATTTCCGCATTGCCATATGCTATATTGCAGCAATATTTACAAATTGTTCTGTGTACTCTGTAAAACATCCTTTTAATTAGTAGAATCCTTTCGTTATATCCTTTGTAACGTCATGTTCATTAAATGGTGACGGTTTGCAAATATTTACAGTAAGCAACTTAAAACAAATAAGAGCAAGTGCGAATCTTGAATTTGCGTCTAACGAAAAGTAAACTCCTGTCATTAAAAAGTTACTAAAATGGTTTTTTACTACAATTTAAAATTTGTTATAATCAAAGACATTTAAATTTCGGGAAATAAAGACAAAAACTATTTATATAATTCTAAACATAAAATCCTATTTATAGTACTCTGAAACTAAGAACAAGTATCTTTTTACAATCTCTGCAAGTCAGAACAAGGCAATGCTGTACTGGATGTCTGCTCATACTGGAATGGATAGTAGTGAAAGTGTAATTAATCTCACAAGTACATGTTCAGTTATGTACATCATATCCTTTTAATGGGTTTAGTTAGTTCATAATTATGATTTTGGGAATTAAAATGATAAATATTGCATTATATCTGGAGTAAATATTTCAAAGTATTAGATTAGGAAGTTGACACAACTTTAGTTGCAAGCTGGTTACTTGACTATAAATATTTCTGTACTCTACTATATTTAGGAAGATAGATCTATTTGATATAATATAATGTCGTATTACGTTAGAAAGAGGCACCCTACCTATGTATGACAGAATTTAAATTGCATCTGGTTACTTGACTATACATATTTCTCTACTCTACTTTATTTAGGAAAATAGATCTATTTGATCTACTCTATTTGATGTGTTCCTGAAATGAATGAGATTTGAAGTCAAATTCTTGGTGCTTTAGTCCCTTTCTTATGTGATAAAAGAACGATATGATGGCGGCTGTAATTAATAACATCTCAACTAAAAGCAGTCTGGCCTTCTTTCGGTTAGGGTCAATTATAAAACAAAAGATTTGCAAAGTAAAAGTACTCTGATCCACTGAAAATCTAAAATCCATTAATTTCATATTCATTATAATGAATATGAAATATAATTGTCATCGTTCGTTATAGAAAAGAAAATGTTTAAAATCTGACTGAAGTCATTGTTGACTGAAGTCATAATAACGGATATGGATGACACATTATTATATATCGAGATAGTTTAAACTTTATGAGCAATATTTTTCAATAACTTCTTTGTTTCCAATTAACCATTTCGATTTTACCATTAGATATCATCTTTCCAATTGTCTTGCCTCTATTCTTCGTGAATTATTACTCCCCCATCTACCCAACTTCTGCATAGTGATACTTTTCTTGTAATATTAGAAATTCTCCTGATAAAGGCAAAATCGAATTTAATATTCTTAAAAAAATAAAAAAACAAAACCGACTTTTAAATAATTTCGACGTAACAACTCAAAAATTGAAAACAAAATTACACTTTTCATTTAGTTCCATCCTTTCTTCTGTCATCCTTTCATTATTTCTAGAAGGATAAACGCTACACTACAGTAACGTGATATATATGTATTATGTTCCTAAACTGAAACGGAGAATTACAGGTTATTGAGAAACCTAATGATATCTTGATTGAAGACTATAGACCATATAGTCTTCAGTGTAACAAAATTCGAAAGAAGGTACTCGACCCGTTTTATTTGAATTTGATTTGTCCTTCGGCATCCATTTATTATTGCGAGAAGAAACAATATTCCACTGCGGCATCTGAAATTTTTATATTACTAAAGACAGTTTTGTAACCTTAAACAGACAATTTAGGGCTATAGGGAAACCTAATTATATATCTTGGCTCAAGATTATAATTCCCATTCAGTTTAATGACAGCCGAAGGGAGTTAGTCGATAAACCCGATTACAGTGGACTCGCTTTATAATAGAAACTATTTTTTAATCTATCTTAATCTACAATAGATTAATCTTAATAATCTACAATTATTAATAGAAAAAACTGTGATACACAGTGGCATATAAAATTGATTGTAATATTTCCAAAGACACTTTTCTTAGCTAACGCTAACAAATTTGAGATTATAGACAAATCTGACTATATCTCTTGGTACAAGATTTGGAGTTTTTACAACCAGAAAGCACCAGCAGATAAGACTTTCGAAAGTTTCACTCAGCATTTTCGGCCATCTGTATCTGTATATTTTTCTACGAACAACGTATTGACGTTACCTCTATTTTTCAACTTAAACAACTCATTGTTATACATTATTCTTTACTTTCCTACATTGAATCTTTAAGAATAGATGAATTCCTTTTTTATATATTACACAATCATGCTTGTTACCTTAAGATGCTTTAGTTTTCTTGAAATCTAACTTCCTTCATTGGATTTTCTTTTCTTTTTCTTGTTGGCTTATTGACTCAATTTAAACATTGATATAAACAGGACCTCTCAGCATTAGATTTCGAATTTTCCGTTTACGGAAATTCAACTTTTCACCCTCTCACATAAATTTTATATTTATTTATTTCCAAATAAATCTGTCAACTTTAATCTTTCTTCTGCAAACTGTTTACAATTTGCCGAGTGAAATGATGCAATATTGCTGATTGCAGATTCCAGCAACAGTAACTGGCAGCTAAAGGATATGCGTTATCCCTTCTCGGATTTTTATTTATTTTCCTGTTTGCTTGATA